TGCTGAAGTTTATGGCAAAACTCCTGTGGGATTTCAGCAGGGAGAATCCAGCCAATTACCAAGGGTTTTTATATGCTCCATTTCAAATTTAGCAAAGCTCTAGTAACCAGTTCACAATATAATTTCATATACCCTTTCCGCACCTGGAACAAGGAGTCCTGGATTCCAGAGGCACCATGTGTCAACACAGAACATCTTGGCATAGACACAGCAGCCGGTCTGGAGGGGCCCACTTGCACCAAGGGGGTAAAGTAATGAAGGGCAGGTACAATGAAATTGCTTACTGGGTAGGCGGGCAGGAGTCCTCCAGGTCCCACAATATACTGGTTATGCAACAAGGGTGGTACACCTTGGGGCAGGTTGGGGGGAGCTTTGCCTGTAGAACCAAAATACAAAATATTTTAACACATCTTAAACAAAACCCTCATACCCACCCTGCTGCCGTCACAGGCTCCAGCCCCGAAATGAGTTTGCTGACGAGCCCTCAAGGCTGCCCTATCACGGCTCCCAAAAAGGCAGGGTTTAGCTTGCTTGTAGGACGATAGCAAATGAAAGCGCAAGCTTGCAACAGGAAGAGGAAAAGGCCCAAGCAGTAGGCAAGACACCTGCTAGGAAAGGGACCAAAAGATGGGATCCTATAGGACCTCAGGGTGCTGAAAACAGTCCCATGAGGTGTCAGTCCTAGTTACATTAACTCAGCTCCCAGCTGCAGGTGTCTTGAGATGATGGGAAGAATTAAGGAGATGGCTTCTCCTTTTCCTGGTCCCCTCTCAGAGGCAGAGGCCAAGCACCACTTTCACTGTCAAACTCACTGTCCTCACTTCCTCCTCTGTCATCAGCCGATTGCCTCCCCAAACCCTGGCAGTGGAATGAAAAGCACTAGAGTCAGATCTGATGACAAGGGTGGTTAGTTCCCTTCTTGCAGTGCTTTACTGACTTCAAATACTGCCAAGAAGCAGAAAATAAATCTCTCTCTACAAAGTGGTGCTAAAGAGCATGGGGGAAAAAAATGCACTTTGGTTTGGCCAGTAATTAGAAACTCCAAAGACAGAGTATGGGCAAGAAGGGCAGAGAAGAAAACCCTTGTGTATGCGATTGGACCAGAATGCCATTTAGTTGGCTTCTCTCTTGTACGGGACACCTTAACCTGTCAAGGTTTGCTTTTGGCGGTTGAAACGGATTTCGAGTCAACAGTGAATTTCAGCTGGCTCCATCTGAGCACAAGATGGCCTCCTATCTCCCTGCCATCACTCCACAAAAATACACAGGACATTTTGCACATTCCTTTTCCCAACAGGGCTATCTGCTTTGGCCCAAGCCAAATGAAAATGCAACTCCTCCTCTCCTCTGTGAGGCAGTGGTGCTTTGGCAATGCAGGCTGGTATTATAGTGGACTCTGACACTGCCAAATGACTTTAGGCTGCAGAAGGAGAGTGACAAGTTGAAGCTAATAGTAATTTGCAACTAAGAGCTGATTGCAAACTAAGCAACTGCACTGGTCCAAACTTACAAAAAACTCAAAAGCAGCTCTGGTACCAGTCTCTACAGCTCTCCATAGATGGAACGTGCTACAAAAGTGCTAAATATTACCTATCAAATATGCCCAACACAGAAAAGCAGGGAACTTTATTTCAGAGGGCAGCAATAAAGCATGCTGAAAAATGAAAGTCTTTCAAGTATGTATATTTCTTAGCGTGGTTATTGCCAGCGAGGTGCTCAACTGACAGCCTGGCAGGTTGAAGTCCTCTTTCTATCCATGTGATCTGTTAATATTGCGAACCTGAAGACACTAAAGGGGCTGCCCGCGTCGTAGCAGCTGGCATAGACACACTGGTAACGCTCAGGCCAAGGCTGTTTGTAGTGTTCATACTGCTTGCCATGCTGACAACCGAGGAGGTGGTGCTAGTGGCTGAGGTTGAAGCAGTTGAAAATGTTGTTGAGGGTTGGAGCGAAGTTGTGTTCTCAACACTAGTATGCTGGAAAGGAGACAAAAAGAATGAGAATCGCCAAGCAAACCAGCCAGGCTGCAAGATGCTGGTTTTAAAAACAAATATGTCCAAATGTCTTAAGAAAAGGCTGCCCATGCAAGAGAAACCTAGCAATTGCACCTATATTATTCACATGAAGAGTAGGCAACTCTGTTATAAACTGAAATTCCTTTGGTACGGTTTGTAGAAACCTACACCATGAGACTGAAACAGAAGTCACTAGGTTTGAGGTGGAATTATACCCTGGAAATCAGATGACTTTGTACTGCGTTTAATGCGGTCATTTTTGTCTGTGAACTGAACGTGCCTCTGAGCTTCAATAACATTGCTCTTCTACTATCTAAGGAAGAACCAAGAGGTTCACATACTCATTTTCAAAAGATGACACACCCAACTAATATACATTTCTCCAGGCCACTCACAAAAATCAAGAAAAAATACAGACAAAAATCAAACTGTGATGCCCTTATCTGTAAAAGCAAGGGATATGTTAAATAAACTGTCATGCATGCCAGGTGTTACAGGATCACAGAACTGGAAAGGGCCTTCTGGATACTGGTCAGTCCCACCAAGTCTTAATCCTGTTCGTCAACTGATCAAGTTCAGATTGTGGCACGGTGGCTTCAGTATATTAATGGCAAAGCTAAGCTCAGAGAATGGGAAGCAGGAACTTCTGGCTGAATGAGACTGCAAAGTACTTGATGCCTATGGATGGAGTAATGGTTTCAAACGCAATAAACACTGCTACAAACCCCTATCAGGCAATCCTGGGCTAACTGTCACCAACCTGTACACCGCCTTGCAGGGCTGCATACACAGAGGCATCCCCCACACACCACGGTGCAGCACCACTCAGTTTAGAGCTCAAGCAACTGCATTTCTAACACTGAATATGAGACTGACTGCCTTGCACTGACCTCCACGGTTTGGAGAGTTAGCAGTAGCTTAAAAGCCACTGCTAAAAAAATAATTTTTAATATGGCTTGTGAAAAAAGGCTTCTTTGCTCCCTGACGTGAAAATGTGCAGTTATACTTGCTCAAAGGATATCAGCAAAGCTCAGGTTAGACCTTAAAAATGTCACTATCACAAGCCACCAGTGCTACAGGCAAGAACTAGGAAGCCCCCTTCTCCCATGAGATTAAGCTCTTATCTGAGCAACTATAAGTTCGTGCACTGGACTCTAAAATGAGAGGCATTTTAAAATGTCACTAGGGGAAAAAATTAGCAGGAAGGAGGTTTAAAATAAAGATGAGGGTTGGCGGATTGTTTTTCAAACTCTTCTCCCCCTCCCTTCCCTCCCATGAACTCATTGCCACAAACGTTTGTAGAGGTAGATAGCCTGGTCAGGTTCAAATAAGGACCTAGACAAATTCACAGAGGGATTTTTCAGCCCATACAATCATGGATGTATTCTCTGACATCCCTCAAACAACAGTAGTTGATGCCAGGGAGAGTCTGACAGGGAATGGATCACACTAGACCTGCCCTGTTCATATACTTTCCCTCTTAAGAGCCTACTATTTCCCAGTATTGGAGATGGTCAGACGGAGCATGGCACTTCTTATGTTTTTAAGCTGACTAATAGCTGTTAAGATGTGAAATGGGACTTACTGCATGTGATGTACTCGAAGACAATGCTGAGGCAGAGGAGAGGCTGCTCTGATGATTGGAGAGGGAACTAGAAAGACAAATTGCGAAGCATTAAAGAACCACTAATTTAGAATGTGAATTTCTCCCACCTGAATGCCTAAAAGGAACTTTTTTTTTTTTAAAAAGCTACTTGTAAAACTTGTATTATCCTTTTTTAAAGCTACACCCTCTGGAGAAATGGTACTGCTATACAGAAAAACAGTTCTGGAGGTAACAGCAAAATGGAATCGAAGAGCTTCTTACAATGCAGAACAGCAATTCAGTTCCCCCTCCCCTTCACAGCACTATGAGGAAAATCACTGCAATGGATGTTTAAAACTTTGCTCATTAGCCACTTGCAAATTCTGTACATATTGGGTGAATAATTTTTTTTTTTTTTTACATAATTCTAAAAGTAACAATTCCATACCATTGCAACCTGTATGGCAACCGCCCCATTAACTAAGGTTCACAATATTAACCACAAGCCTGCCAGTGGTCTCAATCCCTCTCCTGAAGAATGAAGATCTAGGCATTCACTTGAACCACAGGGGAAATCCGGTTTAAAAACCAAGGGCATTTTTACACATGTATGCATCACAGTGCCAGGTGCTTTGAAAAGTGCCCAGCGCTGCAACGCATGCAGTTGTATAAGCAGCAAAATGCGTATCAGGGCTGAGAAAATGGAGGTGGCGCGCTTCTGAACTAACACACCTTGGAGGTGCTTTAATTCAAAAGCACACCGCCTTCACTTTCTTTACACTGACACGCATTTTGCCACTTACACAACTGCACGCGACGCAGCGCAGTTTGCCTCAGCTCATGTGCAGAGCAGGCTCGATTGATAGCGTCTGCTCCGAAGCGATGGATCTCCGGCATGTCGCTGGAAAAGTATGTGTATAAATGCCCCAAGGTAATACCATCTAAGTCCCAAATCTATCTTGCACTCAGAATATGTACACAGAAAACTCATTCAGTTTGACAAGAATATTCTAAACTATTTAAACAAATTAAAAGCCTGGGGGGGGAAAAAAAAAAAAAAAAAAAAATCAGAACACAGTAAGATCTCCATTACGTGTTATATCCACAATGGACATCCTAAGTAGAAAGATAATTAAAAGATACAGTTAGAGATACTGGTTCAAGAAAAACCAGTGGCTGAACAGGTGTTTACAGGTATCAGAAGATACCAGAGCAACTTTAAGTCTGTCCAACTTCTACTGCTGCAGGAAAGCCTCCGCTTTCTAAACGTAGATAATCTCATTTAATAAAACTGTTTATTTCTAAAGGCCCAAATAGCTCCCTGTTTACAATGAGGACAGGCTATCTTTTCGGGACAGGTAAAAAATCATAAAGGAAGATCTCAGCATTGGAAGACAAGCAAACAAGTGATAAGTTCCTTGCTTCACACACCATCAGAATAGCCCTCCATCAGACTAAATCTCCTCCTCAGAAGCCCCCTACCAAAAATTAAGGGAAGAAATCTCCATGCCTCCTGCTAGTTGTGAAGTGTGTACAGCAGAAGGAAAACTGCCTTCCCAATGTCTCTATTTTCCAGACAGCCAATCACTTTCAAACTCCTGACCTTAACCTTTTCACCAGCTCATCTACCCTGTACTGCAGTTTTTTTTCCCTGATTTACACTTCCACTATTTCCAGCTCAGGAGGTTTGCAGCTCAATTACTTTTACCTTCAATATCCTTTTAATTCCTGGTGAAAACACTCCTCTGCTAAGAAAATGTTGGAATAGACTCCTGTAAAGGACCAAGCTTTAAGAAGCAACCTCATTCTACCTACAACAGACCACTCTCAACCTCCTAGCCTGAACGCCAACAGCAAGGCTTGTCCCAGCCTTAAGTGGCAGTCTTATAAAAAAGCCCCTGTGCTAGGCAGAGAAAGCTCATTCTTAAGTGTTTTTGGTGACAAGCAGCTACACCTTTACTCCAGGTGCAAAAAATCAGAACTCTCCCAAAATGAGAATACAAAGCCATACACTGGAGAAGCAAATTAACTTCAAACTGGGTCTTCTCACAACATCTTTATGTTTCCTTCCTATCAGAGGTTTGGCAATAAAGCAGACCCACTCGCATCAAAAGGAGGGGAGTGAATTGCCTTAAATACAATTAAACACTTCAAGACTTTTCTTGGAGATGCTCATGACTAGTCACAAGGCTGAGTTGAGTGCAAGGGGCATAGCCCGGCAGAGGGCTGGCTACTTTGGCAGCTTGTCAAAGCTGGAGAATCCCACAAGGCCCGGCAGTCTCGCTCCCATTTTTTGATGCCCTTCCCATACTGCAGCTATCAGGATGGCAACGTGCCAGAAGAAAAGAAGTGGGTCTGTCGTGCATAAGTAGTTTAGGAAGCATATTCCCTAGAGAGATTCAGATTCATCATGAGACACACTACTGAAAAGACTCAGACTCCAGAACTGTCTGCACATGCAAGTCAGATATGTGCTTGGAAGTGAGGCATCACAGTCTTTTCAGGTTGCTCAAAAGATTCACCACCGCCCAACCCAAACCTGAATGGCTACCAAAGTGCATAGCTTCGCCTTGCCACATGCTCTGGGGGTCCTTTCAAAAGTAAGGTGCTACCACAGAACCAGAGATTTTTCTAGGGTGAATGGAATAATGCTCATTACCTGGGGTTTCCCCCAATACCATGGCATCAGTACAAAAAGGTAATGACCATTCACTGAGAGATGGACAAGACCAATAAGGGTTTATGCGATCCACAGCTAGACTCTAGAAATAACATGCAGAAATCAGGATCTCTTATGCTGGAGAATGGAAGTCTTAATCGTATGCAGTGGGACGGGACTCGAACAGCTAGTGCGGAAGAACCAGAAACCATGATGGACTGAATTTCCAGAGCAATCCTAGTTTTCACATTTCCTCAAGGAAATACCTGAGCAAGAGCCATTCTCAACCCCAAGTCCCAACCAATGCTTTCCTCCCTACCCCAACCTTTTAAAAAATATGTGAGTAGTGAGGATAAAACTACAATTAAAATATTTAAAATGAGCCAGAAAAGTTGCCAAGGACTGGACTTTTACACCTTACGAAGCACTGGCTAAACCAGACTGAATGTGCTTGTTCTCATCTGATCTTGGGGCTTGGAAGCCTTTGGTCTGGCCAGTCCTCAGCTAGGAGATCACCTTGGAATCAGAGATCCCACAGACTCGAGCCAAGGCAACTTGGCGAATATCAGACCATAGGAGCCAAACGGGTGGCAAGACTTCATTTGGCCTATCAACACTGCTGCACAGATGGACAGGAATAGATGGAAGGAAAATACTGGCCAAGTCAACAGCAGGTACTATGCAAAAAAATGGGAAAAACAACAGACCAGGAGCTGTATACAAGAGTCTCCTTTTAAGGTAACACGGTCTCTAACACAATATTGCTTTCAGATCTACGTAGGACTCCAGGGGCAGTGATCTGCGACTACAGTACCACAGACAGGTGTTATGCAGTTCACATTTTGCCACCAGAATCATGACCTTGGTCCTTTTTGGATTCCTGTCCTAATTTACATTACAACAAGATAAGGATCCCAATCTCTGAAGCTGTAGTACCAACTTGCTCTGTCCGTCTTGCACACAGGGCCGTTATTCCCTTCCTCACATATCCTACTGTACCTGCTTAACTGGGAGAGCGAGCTGCTGGCCAAGTCGCTGGACTGGGGCAAGCTGGGTAATGTTGCCGTGTGCTGTGGTGCTGAAGGCAGAAGCGAAGCAGTGGTGGATGCCACGCTGGGAAGAGACCCTGCAGTAGGCAGCGAGGGTGAGGGCTCTGTCTTAGACGCTGGAACTGATGAAGTAGCTGCAAGTTAAAAAAGCCATTCAGAGAGGAATTCAAGCACACCTAACATGACGGGCAGGGCTCAGGGACACGGGGTCTCTCAAGGCAAGGTAGAATATTCCAACTGATCCATAAACATGTGACACATAGGTACTAGGAACTTTAGGACTAATTCTTGAAACATCCTTTTGTCACAACTTTGTCATTATCCTTTTTTTTTTTCTTCATAGCAGGTTCATGATCTTCACTGGTCGATTTTTAACAAATAACATTCCTTATAGTTTCTTCCTGTCACTTTGCTGTGCTTTTGCATGCATCTGCAGGTCTCACCGCCCACACAAACCCTCATACTGGAGTCCAGTCCTTTCAAATTCCACTTTGCCTATGCGGCTCCCATTCACACCAATGCTCTACCAATATAGCATGCCTTGCACAGCTTCCTCATGCTGTTGGACCTTTGCCTATGTCTCCGCCTGCCCAGAACATCCTCCACAGTCTTCGTACAACCTCCACCTCCTCCTCAGAGTCCTTCCTCAAGACTCACTGATTTTGGGAACTGATTATTCCTACCCTCATTGTAGGATTTTGTATAACAGCATTACTTACCAAATGCAAAAAACTCCTAGCTTTAAAAACCACATTCACCAAGCCCAATACAAAGAGAGAGGCACTACTGGCTTGTATGCAACTAAAATAACATTCTGCAACTTCCATAATCCTCCTCCCTTCTTCCCATATCACCCGACTCTTCTTGTAAAGTCTCATCTGCAAAGCTTAAGCTCCTTGAGATAAGGATCTGCTGTGTATGTCTAAATCTACACGTACCTATGCTTCTTCAGAACTAAAAAAAAATCATCTACAAACCACAGCAACAACCCCCCCTCAACTCTTTTAAACCACTGCAAGCAAGTTTAAGGTTGGCCAGATCACAAATGCAGCAAGCAGAATTTATCAAAACTGGGCAGAAATGCAGTACCTTTTTTCAAACACTGGCTTTAAAAATTGGTCGTGCTGACAATGAAACAAAATAAGCCACAGTCAAGTATGGCACTGTACCACTGAGAAGTTTCAGTGACCAAACGGTTAAATGATATAGCCTTGTTTTTCACCTACCCTGGAAATGCTACTTTCCACTGCATGCAAGCTAAAAAATCATCACCTCGTTATGAAGGCACCTTTCCAGGAGACTGGTGCTGTGTGATGTTTACATGGACAATTCTAGCATGCTATTGAAAACATCCTGCTC